GGCATTTTTGGGAAGCGGGACACGGCAAGGGGCACCCGATGGTGTCGGCGCGGTTTTAAAACGAACAGCGGATGTAGTCGTTTCGCATGGACACGATATACCTGACGCGGAAGTGCTGTTTCCAGTACTTAGCAGTAAGGAACTCAATCTACGCTTTTTTTTACATACCCAAGGAGCAACTTGATGGTGTTGACAGGAGTATCCCGTCACTACAGGCAGTCAAAGGCATCATGAAAACACACCAGATCGTTTCATCAAACAAGGGCGTTGCCAGCATCCGACGTTTGTCCTGTTATTGTGGAAATTTACCAAATATGTGTGAATGTTTTAATCCCAAGGAAGTTACTTTCTCTGGTGCTCAACCCCTTCAACCCGAACCCACGACCCTTCCACCACATACTCAAGAACCAGCTACTGTACTAGAAGTTATTCCTCCTGATGTATGCCCAGTTCATATTGTTGGTCGATGGTGCTTAGTCAACTATGATAATAAACCTTACCTGGGCATAATTAAACAGGCAGATGAAGACGGAGTCGAAGTGTCTACCATGCAACCCATTTGCATAAATAAATTCATTTGGCCATCTCAACTTGATATCATATGGTATGAATATACAAAAGTAATAAGTCTCGTTAGTGAACCCAAAAAAATCAGCACCAGGCGTGAGATTTTTGAAGTAGAGAGGTTTGGACTGAAGTTAAGAAACTATACTGAGCGCCATGGAAAACGCATCACTTAGTTTTTCGTATAACAAAATGATCCTGTAAACATATCTTATTTATTTTACTTCTTATTGTGAACAATATTCAAATGGGAACACATCAATAACAACACATTTGTACACTTATGGATGTTTAATCTGTAATCAAGGGTACAAAGTCAGAGGGGTCAAAACCAAAAGTACGACACATGTCAGTAGTGCGTGTGTCCTACACGGGCCATCATCACGGTAGACTACAGCATTAACGCGATCCCTGCAAATGTGTAAGGCGGTCTGGTGATGAAATGTGAAGCCTCCCCACACCATTACACTTCTCCCACCCCATCGATTCGTTTCGAAGACGCAGCAGTCTGCAAGACGTTCCCCAAGACGTCTCCACACACGTTGACGGCCATCAGCGTGACAAAGATGAAAGCGACTCTCAACACTGAAGAGCACACTTTGCCAGTCTACTCTTCTCCATGTCTGGTGTCCTTGAGCCCATATCAAACGCCGCTGACGGTGATGATCCTGAGGATAGCTCCAACATGAGGTCGTTGTACACGGAGTCCTACTTCTCTTAGACGACGCCTTACGGTGTTGGCACTTACTGGTCCTTGTCTTCCAACGACTGCTGCACCTGTTCGAGTCGCTGGGCCAAATCTGTCACGCAGATGAGTGACCCAGATGTAACGTCTTGAGCCTGGGTTGTAACGCGTTGTGGACCAGGACGTTGACGGTCACGTGTTGATCCAGTAACTCGAACACGTTCCACCATTTTGTAATTAGCATCATCGGTACTTTCCGTGATGTGGCGTCATAAGTGCATTTAATGACGTAGATTTTATACGTTTGGACTTGCTGTTTGGACTTTATAATTATAACATTATTTATAAATAAAACAATAACATACATCGTTAACATGGCAATTGAATAAGCTTTTCATAATTGTATGTTTTATTTTTTAAATCACAGCCGTTATCGAGAACGAGCGAGTCTTACTTTAATAGTTCTATGCGTTATAGTATTTATCATATGTGTGACAGTCAGGAGATGGGACTGTTTGTTTCTAAAATGGAATACAGATTTGGCTTAAGTGAGTTCTATTACTGGTAGTGGATTCCTTTCGCCATATGATCTTTTATTAACTCCTTTATCTTGGACTCTAGTTTTAAAAAAAAGCTCCAAAGCTATATTCTTGATTTTTTCATTTCTGATTTTATAAGAATTTTTTTTATGAAAATGAAAGCAGTAGATTGAAGAAAAATTATTTTCAATTTAAGTGATTTTAGACTTAGATCTCAGAGCAAAGTTAGGCTAGCCCTTAGATCTTGGAAGTATGCTAATTTTATTTAATGTTGATCTATAAAAGTTAGCTCTTAACTTCCCCCTTACTTGTTTTTCTTAAGTTTATTTTTGAATTTTTGATTCTTGTAAACTTTCAAATTTCAATGTTATGTAAACACCTTAAAATTGGAGTGTGTGAACTCCTTAATTTTGGACTTGTGTGAACTTGATTTTGTGATTTATTAGTTCTAATTGAAATGGATCAATTGGTTAATGAATTTGACATATGATGATTTTTAGTTCCTCCCACGTACTGTATATTTATCATGTGACTGTTTTATTTTAGGGTCTTGTGAAAAGAGGGCAAAAGCTACAGTTTTTAAGAAAGGTAACAATCACAATATTTAAAGACCATAATCTTAGAACTTTATTTTGCAACCTGAGTTTAAACATGAACTGTAGATACCTATACCTATGCAATACCTATTTCTGACAGTTCCTGAAACTTTAAGTTAAAGATTATGGTTCTATAATACAGGTAGCAGGTAGTCGAAATTCAAATAGCATATTTCCACTTTTATTAAATTGTAAATAATTATGTTTGAATCAATTTATCTTGCCTTTATGAATTTTAGGTGATATTGTATTATGTCCTCTACAGTATGGTGTATGGTGGCCTGGCTATATTGTTGATTTTGTTTCTGACAAAAAAGTAACCATTGGATTTTTTGAAGAGGATCATGTGTATGTATTAATTTTTTGATTTGTGGAGTTACTGTAATAAAACTACGGTACTCTTTTTTTAAGTTACCACTTGGCAGAAAACTCTAAATTAACTTTGTTAATATGATAATACCACAAAGTGACACAATCATGAATTATGTGACTTTTAAAAGAAGTTTAAGGGTTAAGTTTTCTGGCCTATGCCCTTCTTCAGGTTAGGAGCAGAAAAGTAGGACGTTAAACTCCATTTCATTTCATTTCTGTTAGGTTTTCACATTCCATAAATAAATGAAATACCTAAAGGACCATTTTGTTTAAAGTAAATCCTTTAGCAACTCAAATATTAACAATTTAATATTAAACTTGGTGTTCTAAATTACTAAATACTATGAATAACTGACTGCAGTATAGCCTTTTAGCAAAAAATATTTTGCATTAAAAAAGAAATAACTCTCTAGATAATTTATTTATGTTTTTAATTGATTCAAATGTCAATGCAATTTAGCTTATTCCTATCACTCTTCCATTTATATAACTGTCTTTTTTTTAATTATTTCTAAACATATATGTTAACTTTGTAAATTTATTTCCTTACAGAAACGTAACTCACTTATCTAAAGTTGTAGGCCTATCATTTCAAGATGCTAGTCTTCTGATAATGTCTAGTTCAAGTAATTTACATATATTCCATCCTTATTTTGTATTGTTATTGTTCAAAAAAGAAAAAAAAAACTTATTTGTGTTTCAATTGTAGCATGCTTTTTTAAAGTTAAAATGTTTACAGAGTTAGTTTTTTGTTTAGATTAAAATATTACTCTTCCGCATGCCCAGTTCTTTAAAAATAGTTTATCATCAATTAAACAAAGCAGTTATGTAAAATTCAAAGGCATCTAAAAATAAAGACCACCTCTATTTTGGAGATTGCCCCTTGTGGAGTGGAAAATACCTCCAATTCAGAGAGTATCTACATATTTTAAGGGATTGCACTTGGTATGAAACATGATGACCACTTAAGTTGTTTAATAGACTGAGAGACATGCACTTTGCTGTTCAAGGCTCATTGTTGAAGTTTGAATATTAAACTCTGCTATTATAATATATTTCAGAAAAACTAAAGAAGAAAAAGAGTGACCTGTTAATAAAATATGAAAAAGATGTGGAGAAGGCAAAGTTTTTCAGTAATCAAGGATATAATAAAGAAGAGAAAGTTGATAATCATGATACAAATGGATTTGATTTAACCAGAAATGTTTCTGATAAATCTGTTGGAAACAAATTACAGAATAGAATTGATTCATCATCAGTTTCATCAACTGATAGAATGGATGATGAAACTGATAGAACCAAAGTACAGAATAGAATGGAAGATGAAACTGACAGAACCAAAGTACATAATAGAATTGAAGATGGAACTGATAGAATCAAAGTACAGAATAAAATTGAAGATGGAACTGATAGAACCAAAGTACAGAATAGAATTGAAGATAGATCTGATGAAACCAAAGTACAGAATAGAATTGAAGATGGATCTGACAGAACCAAAGTACAGAATAGAATTGAAGATGGAACTGACAGAACCAAAGTACAGAATAGAATTGAAGATGGAACTGACAGAACCAAAGTACAGAATAGAATTGATGATGAAACTGACAGAATTGAAGATGGATCTGATGAAACCAAAGTACAGAATAGAATTGATGATGGAACTGACAGAATTAAAGATGGAACTGATGAAACCAAAGTACAGAATAGAATTGAAGATGGATCTGATGAAACCAAAGTACAGAATAGAATTGAAGATGGAACTGATGAAACCAAAGTACAGATGCAACCTGATACTGAAGCTATGCCAACACAATCAAAAACTCTAGCTCTGCAGATGCAGCAAGAAATTTCAGAAAGAATTCCACCAGAACCTATCCCGGTCATATCAAAACCAGAATTTTCAAACTCTAAAATCTCGTCACGAACTGAGTCAACTCGCCCACCAATTTCTGATGATCTGTTTTCTTCTGATGAGGATGATGACATATGCAGTGTAGATAAGAATTTCAATTCGAACTGTTTCGCGAAAACATACCCCAATTTAAGTTCAGGTGATGCCTTTCAGTCCACATCACATGAGAAGAATGCTGTAAATTCTGATAAGGAGGTGCAATTGAACATTACCACTGTATCGCTAGTAAGAAAACGAACTTCTTTGCGGTCTAAACAACCCGTTTGTTATGGTGATTCGGATGATCTTATGGTTTCTTCTGGATCAGAATATGAGCCAGAGAATGCGGAAGAGACATCACATGTCAGTAGCAGTTGCAGTTCAGACGAAAGCGAGATTTTTCCTATGCTAACTGCTAAAGCTAATGAACGTGGCAGTGCTGACATATTTAATGAAATAGAGTCTTCAAAACAACAAGTTTCAGACTTTTCAAGCGATGATGAAGATGTGAACGAGGCAAATATTACCAGGGCTGACGACATTAATGACATATATGTACAGAAAATACTGAAGGATTCAACAACAAAATGTGGGGAAAAAAAGAAGGTAAACCGTGTATACAACAGCTATCAATATTGTGCCTTGTGTGATAAAAAAGTTTCCAATTTTGCACAACACATTTCAAGAAACCGTCATCTTGTGGCTCATGCTAGTTGTTTGGAATTGACAGAAATTGTGGAAGAAGAAGATGAAGATTGCATGCGTAAACGGCGAACCTTGCTTCGTGGTAAATTTAACCATAAATTTAATATGAAAACAATTAACAGTGGAAAGGGTGAACTAATCCTAGAAAGACGGCCAAAAGGTAACTTTAAAGTAGAAGATTTTGGGCCATGCCCAGGCTGTTATTTATGGATGACCCACAAGCTTTTGCGAAAGCACAAGGCTAAATGTCTAGCTCAAAGTGAATTTACAAAATCATCTTCCTTAGTAACTCAAATCAAAAATAATAACTGGACGCATACCAACTAAACCAAGTGAAGCTCTTCTGAAAGAAGTTTTTATTGTAATGAAAATGGACAATATAGGCAAAGTTGCTCGTGAAGATCCACTCATAGTACAGCATGGAAATTACTGGATGCAGAAAAATGTTGGAAACAAATTGAAAAGAGGGGCATATATTTCTCAAATTATGAGATTATGCGCACGTTTGTTAATAAATCTCAGAGAATATCCCATATCAGAGGAACCAACTTTGTGGAGTTATTTGAAAGCATCTCATTTGGACAACATAGTGAAAGCCACATTGAAAGTAGCTGATGCCATTAGCGATGACAATCTTCAGAAACCTAGTAATGCCCGTAAACTTGGGTTTTATATCAAAAGAGTCATCAATTGCCAAATAGGAATTGCGATAATGACCAACAATGAGACAAGTCGAAAAGAAGCAGAAGATTTGTTGAAAACAATGGAAATATTTTGGGGAACAAGAATCGCTAAGTTGTCAAATGTTTTGCTGGAAGAAAAGAAATACAACAAAAATCAACCACTACCCAAACCAGACGATATTGCCATATTAAACAAAAGTATTGAAGATACAATTAATAATTTGAATCTGAATGTGGAGACATTTGAAAACTTTACTTCTGTTGTTGAAGCCATCTCTGCCAAGCTTGTGGTTTATAACAGAAGAAGAGTAGGCGAAGTTGAAGCAATAAGGTATAGTATGCTGATGCTCCTTTCTTTCCATAGCCTACATTTTCTAGAATTTCAAAAGCATTATTTTCCGTGTTCAAAAGGCAGGGCATGCTCACCCTTCTGAAACGCATGATTTCACTTTGGAACTGGGTGTTACTTTAGCATCCCTTTTGGAGATTCCACATAGCTAATATTGCTTGTTTGGCAGTTTAATTTTTACATTGATGTTAACCCTTTCACTGCGTATACCCGGTAGTACCGGGTATTATAAAATGTCGGTAAAATGCACGTACCCGGTATTACCGTGTACTCAGTAAAGCCCTCGCTAAAATTAGAACCGTAACTGCAAGTGCCATCTATTGTATTTTCTATACACTAGAACATATTTCCACGTGTTTCAAAGCGGCAAACCGTAAAATGGCGGAGTGCATAGTGACAATGTTGATGATGCACTCTCGACGAAGTCGTGAATGACGTCTTGCTCACCAACACGTGGACAATTTCGAGGCGGGTGATACACATAATTCGTTTCCAGTTACTTGATAATGATAGTAGTCAGGACAGTGATTGGTATTATGAAGTGTGTGATTTGTTGCGCGACGTTCCGCCCATGGCTAGCTATGTCTCCCGTGCATGATGAACAAGCCCAATGTGAACACGATAGCCCTGTGTCTGCAGTAGATTCTGACAATAATTCTGATGTTGATAATAATGCTGACCTGCTGGATCGTAAAAGACGTAGGCAATTCCTGAGTCCCGAACGTGTAGATCTATTGACTGACTATATTGATAATGATATAGGACTTGGGGATGAAAGTGAAAGTGAAAGTAAAAACAAGGTATTGCAATCCGCACGTGGTCATGGCAGCGGGAGACGTGATGCGCGTGTTCGTGGCGGCATTGCTCATGGCTGCTATTGATATATTTGTTCATTTTATATATCTTTATCAAAATCCAGTGAAAAAAACAATATCTTTTAAGTATTTCATGGAGAAAAATTCGTTTTCGTGTTAGCTTTAGTGAGAAATAAGAAATCCAAAATGGCCGTCATGACGTCACGTGACTACATTATTATGCAAATTTCCAAAATTCTATTTTTTCCTCTTAGCCCAACCTCATGCCCATTCCAACAGACAAAAAGATTTTTCATAAAAGCTTCCATAAGTACTGCTTGGCATTCAGTTCCAACCTCCCTTTTTTCCTCAAAAAAGGGTCTAGCACAGGCAGTGGATTTACGTCTAGCATTGAAAGGGTTAATGCTTGATTTATTAGTCATATAGAATTGATTTCTCTGCATCAAATTACAAAATATTTGTTTCAGACTAACCGATTATGAGAAAATACGAAAAGGGGAAGCCCCAGAACATTTAGTAGGTCAATTAACAGATTTTGAAAAAAAGTTACTTAAGGAACAAGAGGTGATGACAGTAAGAGGAAAGGTTGGTTAATATTAGAATTTTGGAAGAAATAAACTAAATGGAAATTGATACTGGAAGCCATAATTTGAAAGATATTTTTATAGAATAGCATTAAGAGTTAAATTTGACAGATTTTCTCACCTTTGCTTAGTAAAAATTTCACACAGTTGAAACTTTAGTCTCTCCTTGGTGTGCAATACATCTATTACTATAGTAAATTAAGCATAAGTATCTGGCTCTTGTCACTAAAACAGCTCTTAAAAAAGAAACTTTCCTATTTCAACTTTTAAAGAAATGTCAATAGTTACATAATTCTGTTGAATATGGCTTCTCTGCAGGTATGTTATTTCTGAAAAATAAATGGTTTTGTCTAATTTCTTTTTTTTTTTTCAGACTGGACGTGGTGTTCCAATAATTTTGCCTAAAATAACAAAACAAGGTTTAAAGTTTTTGACTGATCGCAAAATACGCAGTAGATGTGGTATACGTTCTGGAAAAGGTAAATAAAATAATTGAAATTTGCAAACATTTTTCATATCTGGATTCATATGAATTCAAAAACTTGACACAGAGTTTTACTGTTTTAAATTTGTTCACTCCAGTTTGGATTCTGTTATTTACCTAGCTTCGAACTGCATTGGTAGAAATGAATTATTGTTTTTGTATTCCAGAAGATGGTGTGATTAGAGCTTATAACTGTTTAGCAAAGGCTTGCAGCAAAGCACCGTTATCTTCACCCGAACTTATCACAAGTACGACCTTAAGAAAATACATGGCTACAATAACTCAGGTATGTATAATAACTATAAAGAGCCTTACAAAAATAGTGAATTATTTTTTGTTTAGTAGTTGTTGGGAAATTTGGTACCCTGACTAACTTGATTATTCAAGTTAATTTTTAAACTTGTTCAAAAATATGTTCTCAACTTAGAATGCTTACATTCACTTAAGCTTGAAAGAAGTGTAATAATTTAAATCAAGATGACAATTTAAGTCTATAGGATATATTCCAGGTGTTTGTGTAATATCATTGTTATTACAGGTTTTAGATCTCAAACCAAATGAGATGACATGGGTATTAGACCATCTTGGTCATAGCATGGACGTGCACAAAATTTACTACCGGTAAGCTTTTTTTTATATAAATCTATCCTATTATCTTGTTTGTTACCTCATAGACCATCTGCTTTAAACAGTGCATCTGACAGCTTACATCTTCGCTCATTATGACAAACATTTTGAACATAAAACTATCTAATTGATTACAGGGGAAGGATGTATCACAAATTAGATTTATATTTATTTCAAGGAAAATTCTTATCAAAAATTGTTAGCATTGCTACGGTGGTTTGATTAGGACACCTTTTTGTTTTTGTATTTTCTATTTAATTTTTAGGAATCCTAAGTATTTAATCCTGTGGAATTTTTATTTAATTTTCTAATGTGTGCCAAATTTTAAAGCGAATTTGCAAATTATAAATTTGGAATAGAGCCGATATAGATGATTAATATTTGTTGATATGTATTATTGACTGATTTAAGTTTTTTGTTATAGAGGTACAAGTGACATTCTAGAAAAAAACACAGATAGCAAAGTTGTTGCTTATTCAAGACACAAATCAAGTTGGGCGTTTCAAGGATAAGTCCTTAACTGATGTTCAAATGGAAGGTAATTATTTTTTCATGATACATATATAATAACAGTTAATCATTATTAGTAGAAAACGACAGTCAATTCTTTATTGTTGTAGACATCCATAGACAGACTTTATGTCAACAACAATACAGAAAAAGACAGTAAAATAATAATGATAATGTCCATATTTTACAAGGATAGCATCTTAGGCTGAGCTAGTCTGTCTATTAGTTGGTCCTTGGCACAGATCTTGACGCATGTGTTTTGAAAAGAGTTAGCATGTTCTGCTTCATCCATGACACTAATTATTGTTGTGAACAATCAGGAATACAGCACGTCTGTAATAAGTGCACCCTTTTTTCCCCAAAAAGTCTTTATTTTAATGGGGGTGCTATTTGGATAGAAAGTTTGATCCTGGTTTACCTTTCTTTAAGAATTTTAACAATACATTTAGATGAGACTCCCTAGAAAGACTGATTACCACAATTAAGTTATGATAATTTTTTGGCATTTTTATGGAAACCAAACCTATTTTATGTTCTATTTTCTCATTGTAGACGTGGTTTTTAATAGAGACACCGAAACAATGGTAAATTTTCAAGCATCTGAGGTCATAGACAGTGATATTTTTGATGAGACAAAAATGGACAGTGATAGTGAAGAAGATACAAGAAAAAGCCAAAGAAAAAGGCCATGTATAACAACAAAAGCAAAGTGGTCAGAAGAAGAAGAGGCAGAGATTCGAGAATTGTTCAAGAAGTTCATAAACAAGAAGATAAGGCCTACTCCGGCTCAGTGCTTAAAAGCTATCGCCATCAGCAAGGAAAAGGGTGGGGTAATCTGGAGAAGAAAAAAAGATGTCTTGAAAAAAAAATTGTTCAGAATTATTGACAAGTTGAACAAACAGTGAATTAATAAGCTCTTGAGATATATTATGGTTTTTAGTTATTATGGTATTACTAACTCTTGAAGGGATCAGAGTCAGATATTGGTTAACTATTCTGTTTTATGCATCTTTTTTTATACCACTTGCTGATTGCAAAATCACTTATGTTTTATCATTTATGTAAATCATGACCTACATGGATTCAGTTGTAGCAGCTTGATAAGCTCGTAGCCAATGCATTTGGCCAATTATTTGTGACGATATGATGAAAATGTATAAATAATGAACAGAAAACCAAATATACAAGCTAACATCGAATTGAAGCACTACTTAAGATCTCCATCTGATTTTAATCTCTGACAAATAAGATTTAAAAATTGTATAGAAGCAGAAGCTGTAATATGTATTTTGGCATACAAGATTATTAATTTATGTAATTACCATCCATTTATTTTAAGTCTTTGCCAGTGTGGGGAGTGTTTCATGAGTAGCTTTACTCTATCCAAAGCCTCTTCTTTCCTTTTTGCATCTAGCCAAGATATTTCCAGGGAGAATATACCAATCTATCCTGTCATTAATTTATGACGCAAATGATTTTTGTGCTACACATTTTGCACTGTCCTTTTGTTACCCATTTACAGCTGTGTGAACTGGAATAATTGAGAACAGTGTTCAAGTGGGGAATTGAACACTCAACCTCTAAAATGGCAATAAAATGTAATATTGAAAACTGAAAACTGAAAACAGATAACAAACTATATCTATTTCTGGTAGTGTTGACAGCTGTTGTCTGTAACTTTACTATACTGATAGGTAGTTATACAGTTTTCAGTAAAGTTCATTATTTTGAAGTTAATCACATCCGCCTGTTAAAGATTTGTATTACCAGAGTAAATGAAATGTTGTTTAATGTCCTACTTTTATGCACTTTTTATTGGCTAATGAAGACAGGCATATGCCATGCAGAGTGCAACGAGGGAAATTTTGACAGGACAGCCAGTGATAACTTGCCTACTCTTCTTCTATTTCCAAGAGATAAACAAGTCGTGAAAAAACTTTTGTAGATCCCTTCACACATATAAATATCCATAAATGTAGTTACCATCCATTTTATTTAAGTCTTTGCCACAGCCTTTGTTTAGACAGGATAACATTGTGGTAGCAGCCGATCCTTACACTATTCAGAATATAAGAATAAATACTTATCTGCAGATAAGAATATATTCTAATATTCTGGAAAGCAATTAAGAATATATTCTAATATTCTGGAAAGTGTGTGGAACAGTTGGTGGTAGATGTCTGTGCAGTATTTTATATCATTAATCTAAAATTAACACATCATTTTCATACACTGTCCAATTCACCATGCCCAATCCAGTGTATGTCATTATTGTTGCATTTTCCATAATTCTATTTGTACTTGTCATCCAGTGGATGTATAATGTCATTAATCATGGATAAGATGATTTGTTTTATTTTAGATGCTTGAGTTAACCATTTTTTCATGGTTTGTTGGGTTTTTTCTGTTCTTTTAAAATGTTGCTGTTCAATAATTTTCAAAATAATAAAATTGGTTTTAAGCAAATCCTTGTTATTCATGCACTCCAATTTTGAAATATTGGCACCTTTGACAGGTCCAAATATGCACTGAGGATTGTTTTCAAATAATGTTTGCTATGAGTGCAAGGGAGTGGGGTGGTGGGCACAAGAACTATGGGATTTAGAAAAAGCAAAGATAATTTTGCACTTCTAATCACATTTTATTCTTGATGCTGACTTCAAATAATTTCTTCAAGTACTTTTATATCTATGAGCTCATGAAAATGTGACTAGGGAATTCCTCGGGCCTACATGTTTAAACAATGGTGTGGGGTGTGAAAAAGAAGAGTTTCTACAGAAGGCTACTAGAAAATATCAATTTGATTTAGAACTGGGGATTAAATTGGATTGATATTGTAGATTTTCACATCTAATAGTTTTAGTTTAGTTTTAAATCTAATAACCCCATCCGTAACAACAAAATGCTGAATTATAAGCTATATTTTTACTTTGTTGACTAGCAGGCAAAACATTCCCAAGCACACTTCATGATCTTTGTGCATAGAAGTTAGTTTCACGATTTTAAATAGATAAATTTCAACTGTATTAGGTCAACCAAACTGTTTCGTTTTCCAACTGTTCAAATTTGTGATAATGAAGTGTTTCTTATCCCTGTTGAAATGCGTTTACTTTGATTAATAAGGTTCTCTTAATTTGGGAATCATGATTCAAATGCGAATTTATTTTTAACAAACCTGATAAGAGGAAAGGTCCTCTACTGATCTGCGTCACTACAACTGGTAAGTTGCATACATCAAGGCACCGTAACTATTCAGGAATAAAATGAAATGGAGTTTAACGTCCCATTTGTATGCACTGTAAGGCTAATTAGAGACGGGCATATGACAAGTGTGTGCAATGAGGGTGAATTTTGCCAAGGCACATGGCCTACTCTTACAACCGATTTTAACTGCCGAGGTGTCTTTAACATGCTCTATCGAATGAACACAGGACTCCGTTTATCGATGGACTGGAATGCTTTTCCACGTCAGCCCTCACCTGACAAGGGGGAACCCCAGTCGAAAAAATCCACAAGGTTGACCTCGACCTCGCCGGGATGCGAACCCGGGACCCCCAGCATGAGCGGCAAGCGTCCTCACCACTTGGCCACACCGGGCCCCCATTCCGGAATGAAGGTTTGAAGTGTAATGAATTGGGGACAGTTCATTCCTGAAAGTTAAGGTTGCAGGCACGGTCTTCTGAGCTGGACTGCAGCCCAATACTGTTAGATATATAGGCTCAGTATTACGAACAAACGATTCCAGAACCACAATTTGAGAATGGATGCAGTCAAAGTGGAGACAATTCATAGGTTTAAATTTGGGTTGCAGCTCTGTTAGGTTTCAGACAAAATTCCTCAGAGTTACGGACATAGCCTTTTGAACTGGACTGCAGCCCAATACTGTTAGATATATAGGCTCAGTATTACGAACAAACGATTCCAGAATCACAATTTGAGAATGGATGCAGTCAAAGTGGAGACAATTCATAGGTTTAAATTTGGGTTGCAGCTCTGTTAGGTTTCAGACAAATGACTGAATGTAATAGGCTTGCATGCATGTAGATGAAGATAATATTTTGCAAACAATGATTTTTCCATTTTTTTTAATTTTTTCATAATTGCGTGTAAAGAATAAGATGTTCTTTTTATTTTCACTTGATAAATGACTGACTTTGTGTACTAATACATGGATCAATGTTTATACTTCATTATTTTGATGCAACCCACATTGCACTTCGAAAAAAACCGAACAAATGTGCACCACAAAACCTCTCTTTGTACTTTCTGCACCCCATAAGTGAAAATATGCAGAAATCTATTGGGCTAGTACGTCCGTCAGTCCACAATTGTTTGTGGACACTCTACAGGTCATAATTCTTATCCGATTTTGACGAAACTTGAAATATAGGTTTATCTCCAAAATATCTCGGCTGCTTTCGATATTGGCATGTATCGGATCGAAACTTCATGGATTATGGACCCTGTTTGTACGAAAAATCACATTTTTACCTTGTGGACACTATAGAGGTCACAAATTTTATCCGATTTTGTTGAAACTTGAAATGTAAGTTGATAACCCAAAGAACTTGGTTCCTTTCGATATTCGCGCATATCGGACCGTAACTTCCTGAATTATGGCCCATGATTGTACAAAAAATCACGTTTTTAGCTTGTGGACACTATAGAGGTCATAATTTTTATCCGATTTAAAAAACAGTATTATTATATCACTGTTACACCCTAAGGATGGCCGAGTTTGAATTTCTTGAAAATCAGCCCAAAATTGACAGACAAAATGGCCGCCGTTTGTACGCGAATAGTGTAAAAATATGGTATATCAAGGTTGTGGACCCTATAGAGGTCACAATTTTTATCCGATTTTGTTGAAACTTGAAATGTAAGTTTATAACCCAAAGATCTCAGTTCCTTTCGATATTCTCGCATATAGGACCGTAACTTCCTGAATTATGACCCCTGATTGTACGTAAAAACGTGTTTTTTGGCTTGTGGACCCTATAGAGGTCATAATTTTTATCCGATTTAAAAAAACGTATTATTATATCACCGTTTAACCCTAAGGACGGTTGAGTTCGAATTTCGTGAAAATCGGCCCAAAATTGACAGACAAAATGGCCACCGTTCGTTCTCAAATAGCGTAAAAATATGGTAAATCAAGGTTGTGGACCCTATAGAGGTCACAATTTTGATCCGATTTTGTTGAAACTTGAAATGTAAGTTTATAACCCAAAGATCTCGGTTCCTTTCGATATTCGCACATATCGGACCATAACTTCATGAATTATGGCCCCTGATTGTACGCAAAAACACGTTTTTTGGCTTGTGGACCCTATAGAGGTCATAATTTTTATCCGATTTAAAAAAACGTGTTAATATATCACCGTTACAACCTAAGGACGGCTGAGTCCGAATATCGTGAAAATCGGCCCAAAACTGACAGACAAAATGGCCACCCTTCGTTCTCAAATAGCGTAAAAATATGGTATATCAAGGTTGTGGACCCTATAGAGGTCACAATTTTTATACACCCACATTTTCATGTGGACGTATTATGCCGTCGCCCCTGTCCGTCCGGACGTCTGGACGTCCGTCCGTCCACAATTGTTTGTGGACACTCTACAGGTCACAATTCTTATCCGATTTTGACGAATCTTGAAATATAGGTTTATCTCCAAAATATCTCGGCTGCTTTCGATATTGGCATGTATCGGATCGACACTTCATGGATTATGGCCCCTGTTTGTACGAAAAATCACATTTTTAGCTTGTGGACACTATAGAGGTCACAATTTTTATCCGATTTTGTTGAAACTTGAAATGTAAGTTGATAACCCAAAGATCTCGGTTCCTTTCGATATTCGCGTATATTGGACCGTAACTTCCTGAATTATGGCCCCTGATTGTACAAAAAATCACGTTTTTAGCTTGTGGACCCTATAGAGGTCATAATTTTTATCCGATTTAAAAAAACGTATTATTATATCACAGTTACACCCTAAGAATGGCCTTGTTCGAATTTCGTGAAAATCGGCCCAAAATTGACAGACAAAATGGCCGCCGTTCGTTCTCAAATAGCGTAAAAATATGGTATATCAAGGTTGTGGACCCTATAGAGGTCACAATTTTTATCCAATTTTGTTGAAACTTGAAATGTAAGTTTATAACCCAAAGATCTCAGTTCCTTACGATATTCGCGCATATTGGACCATAACTTCTTGAATTA